ATCACATTTATTATGTCTACCAGAGGAACAATTAACTCAAAATCAATTCAGCATAAACTCTTCAGAAAACATAATTATGCATATTCGCATTTAACTTTTCAAATTTATGCAAATCACATGGTTTCAAGTTTAGCTCCTAAAATATATGCAGATTAACTGTTAATTATGCATCGATACAAACGAGGGTCTTTTGTAGACGGACACTGAACATGTGGTTTATTCAGAGCGCTGCGAGATCGTTATCATTACAGGCAATCAGAAGAGATGCTGAGGCGGTTACTACGGCAACCAGGTACAGGGTTCAGGTGACCTCAGAGTCGTGTGTGTGTGTGTGTGTGTCATGGTGCCAGATGGCCCAACACACACATACACAAACAAACACAAAACACACTGAGACACACACACAAACACACACACACAAAAACACAAATCCACAAGCACAACATGTGTATACGCACACAAATGTGCACACACAAACAAATACAAAATATGTGCACAAAATGCACAAAAAAACAGACAAAACGCACACACGCAAACACAAAAGGTGCACAAACACAGACAAAGCGTAATTACACACACACACACACACACAATGCACAAGCACAAAACAAGTACACACAGACAAAACACAAAACATGCACACAAACACAAAACGTGCACACACACATACACACACACACACACACACACACACACACACACAAAAGAAGCAAATAAACACTAAACGCACACACATGAAACATGAGTGGACACACACAAACACAAAACACACACAGACTGTGATAACCACCATCATTCTGTTTATGGCACAATTTTACGGATCACTAAATGCAAGCAAACCTCAGCTGCAAAGTGTGTGTGTGTGTGTGTGTGTGTGTGTGTGTGTGGGAGAGCGCGCGCACTCTCTCTCTCTTTTTTAAAAAAAAAAAAGNGNNNGCCAGCCCTTTGAGGTCGGGATGATATGTGGCTTGTATCGCACAAAATAGCTGGTCTATTATTATGGTGAGAGCGAACACAAACACACAGCGGCGGCTTTACCACTCACATTCACACATCAGCCGGCGGCTCTCCTCAAATCTGTCTCACCATCTGTGTGTGTGTGTGTGTGTGTGTCCTTTTAGGGCTCCAGATCTCTCACACACACACACACACACACACACACACACACACACACACACACACACACACACACACACACACATATTCACCTGGCTAATAGAGCTACAGGAAGGCCAGCAGCATTAGATAATCTGCAGCAAATCCCCACAGATCAGTGTTTCATCTTTTTTTTTTTCAGCATTTTTTATAACAGAGCACACAATAACGACTGTTTGCTGCATTTTTGGAACAACAGAGTAGAACTATGGGTAAAATTGGTACTTTTTCCCTATTTAAAGGTGGAGTAGGCTATCAACCAATCAGATTCAAGAACCAGATGTGTGTGTGTGTGTGTGTGTGTGTGTATACATATATATATATATATATATATATATATATATATATATATATATATATATATATATACACATACATACACACATATATATATATATATTAGGGGTGTCAATTAATTGTTTCTTCGGTGCACCGCGATGCAGACGCGGACAATTCGGTATCGGTTCAGTAATAATCATAACCGGTTATTACTGACGTCATTTACCTCATATGTGCTCTGTCGCGAGGGAGGCAAGCACGAGTATTTACAACACTCCAACTACTTAAAACTCATAAACTGTGCACACTGTGTGTGTTTGCTGGATCAGTCTTTCGCTGACATTTACAGCCGAAGCCCCTATTTCACTGAGATCGAGAGAATGCAAGTACTCCATTTCTCTCTCTCTCTCTCTCTCACACACACACACACACACACACACACACACAGTGGTCTATTTGACCTGCTGGCGTGGCTTTTCTTCTCCTCTCAGCGTTACTTCTGGATACAGTTTTCTCCAGCGTGTCTATCATGCATCAGCTGTGATCGCCCCTGCCGCTTATCAGTGTCACTCATCTGTGAAGAGCGCAGCGGGCAAGAGCCAATCGCAACTGTTTTTGTTGAGGGTGTGACCAATCAAAGAGGTGTAAGAGAACTAGGCAAGGATCAGAAAGCGAGCGCTATATTTATATTTGTTTACATTAATTGCTATAAATGCTCGTGTTGTTTAGAGGTACAGTTCATATATTTGACTGTTTGTATTAAATGACAAAATTGTATTACAAATAGTATATAATTATATTCATACATTTTAATACAAGAACTGCTGCTGTGAAGGAAATATAAAACTGTGTATGAAAAGCACCGTCAATGCACCGTGATGCACCCAAATATTGAATTGAACAGAATCGACGGCATGATAATCGTATATATATATATGTGTGAGAGACACACTCACTGGCCACTTTATTAGGTACGCCGTTGTAGTAGTACCTAATAGTAATCTGTTGTTAGTGGTAGTAATCTGTTAACAGAAAACTGTGATTAAAATGAAAATTATATGTGTATGTATATTAATTTGAATCACTGTTTTCTGTTAACAGAAGATGATGTATGATTGCAGTATTGTCATTTGAGCTTTACTCTGAGCTTATCTACTTCAGTGTCTCTTTACTGATACTGTTCCTCTGTTACACGCTTGACCAATTTTCATTATACTCATATTGTTCATATTCTGTGTGTGTGTTTGTGTGTGTGTGTGTGTGTGTGTGTGTGTGTGTGCGCGTGTGTGTGCGTGTGTGTGTCAGTTTGTGGCTCATCCGAACTGCCAGCAGCAGCTTCTGACGATCTGGTATGAGAATCTTTCTGGTTTGCGGCAGCAGTCCATCGGTGTGAAGTGTCTGACGGTGCTGGGCGTCACAGTGGGACTGCCTTTCCTGGCCATCGCATACTGGATCATGCCCTGCAGCAAGGTAACACACACACACACACTCTCTCTCTCTGTCTGTCTGACATTAAAGCATCACTATAAAATCAGGAAAGGTTTGTGTACCATATTAGGCTCTGTGTGGCAGAATTTAAAGAAATGTCACTTAACAAACTCATAATTATAATTATAACAAGGTACAGATTGGCTTTCTGAAGGCAGCAATTATTTTTAATTTCATACAAGAAAGTAAACGCCTTACAGCAAGAAGGTCGCTGGTTCAAGTCCCGGCTGGGCCCAAACACGTGCTGTATGTGAATTGGGAAAGCTAAATTGCCCGTAGCATGTGTGTGTGTGTGTGTGTGTGTGTGAGTGAATGAGTGTGTATGGGTGTTTCCCAGTACCGGGGTTGCAGCTAGAAGAGCTTCCGCTGTGTAAAACATATGCTGGATTAAGTTGGCGGTTTATTCTGCGGTGGCGACCCCTCGATAATAAAGAAACAAAGCGGAAGGAAAATGACTGCTTAAAATGCATGTGTAGGTAAAAGCTTGATCTTTGGTGGAAACACACACACACACACACACACACACACACACGTGTCTGCAACATCGAAATGATGAATACTCTCCTAAAAGCGTATGAGCACAGATAAACACTCACGTTTCATTTCCTTCCCAAGAGCGAGGATTCACACTGTGACTGACTGTGTGTTTGATGAGCACCTCTGCGCACACGGCTCATAGAGGGATATCAGCTGACACACACACATACACACACACACACCGGGCGGCTTTTGTGAAGGGTTTTGGGGTTGAAATCTAATCAGTGCTCGTCAGACAGGAAGTGCTGTGCATCTCCAGAGAAGAGAGACAGGGAGACGGGCATTTCAGTTTCTGCAAGATGATGGTGCTTGTTAGTTTACATACATATATGTGTGTGTGCGTGCGCGTGTTTCTGTGCATGTGTGTGTGCGTGTGTATGTGATGTCATGTCATTTGCCATATCATATGTCATGTCGGATGTCATGAAGTTTGTCATATGATATGTCATGTTATATGTAATGTAATATGTCATGTGTCATGTCATGTTATATGTCATTATGTATGTCATGTCATATGATATGTCAGATGTAATGTCATATGTTGCCATATGTAATGTGTCATATGTCATGTCATATGGCATGTCATATGGCATGTCATATGTCATGTCATATTTCATGTTATATGTCATATGTCATGTCATATGCCATAATGTATGTCATGTGTCATGTCATATTATGTCATGTTATATGTAAAGTCATTTGTTGTGTCTTATGTCATGCCATGTTATTTCTTATGGTATGTCATTTGTCATGTCATGTAATGTTGTGTCACATGTCATGTCTTATTATGTCATGTCATATGCCATGATGTATGTCATGTTATATGTAATGTCAGTTGTTGTGTCGTATGTCATGTTATATGTCATGTCATATGCCATAATGTATGTCATGTGTCATGTCATATTATGTCATGTTATATGTAATGTCATTTGTTGTGTCTTATGTCATGTTATATGTCATGTCATGTCTTATGGTATGTCATTTGTCATGTCATGTAATGTTGTGTCACATGTCATGTCTTATTATGTCATGTCATATGCCATGATGTATGTCATGTTATATGTAATGTGAGTTGTTGTGTTGTATGTCATGTTATATGTCATGTCATATGTCATGTTATGTCATTTGTCATGTATGTCATGTCATGTTGTATGTCATATGTCATGTCATATTATTTTATGTTATATGTAATGCCATATGTCGTGTCGTATGTCATGTTATTTGTCATGTCATATGGCATATTATGTCATGTCATATGCCATGATGTACAGTATGTCATGTGTTATGTCACGTTATGTCATGTTATATTTAATGTCATTTGTTGTGTCGTATGTCATGTTATATGTCATGTCATATGTCACGTTATGTCATTTGTCATGTCATGTGGTAAGTCATGTCATGCTGTATGTCATATGTCATGTTATATGCAATGTCATATGTCATGTCATTTATCATGTCATATGGCATTTCATGTCATTTGTCATGTCTTATGACATGTCATTAGATGTAATGTCATATGTCATGTAATATGTCATCTAATATGTCATGCTGTATGTCATGTTATATGTCATATGTCATGTGTCGTTGTATGTCATATAACATGTCATTATATGTAATGCCAAATGACATGCAGTTTGTCATGTTATGTCATGTCATTTCTCATGTTGTATGATCTATGACATATTATATGTAATGTTATATGTCATGTAGTATGTCATATTATGTCATGTTGTATGATCTATGACATATTATATGTAATGTCATATGTCATGTAGTATGTTATGTTATGTCATGTTGTATGTCATATAACATGTCATTGTATGCAATGTCATATGTCATGTTGTATGTCATGTTAAATGTCATGTCCTCCCTCATGTTGTGTCATATGTCATGTCATCATATGTCACATTTCCTGTTATGTCATGTCATATGTCATGTTGCATGTCATGTTAAATGTCATGTCCTGCCTCATGTTGTGTCATATGTCATGTCATCATATGTCATATTTCCTGTTATATGTCATGTCATATGTCATGTTGTATGTCATGTTAAATGTCATGTCCTCCTTCATGTTGTGTCATATGTCATGTCATCATATGTCATATTTCCTGTTATATGTCATGTCATATGTCATGTTGTATGTCATGTTAAATGTCATGTCCTTTCTCATGTTGTGTCATATGTCATGTCATCATATGTCATATTTCCCGTTATATGTCATGTCATATGTCATGTTGTATGTCATGTTAATTGTCATGTCCTCCCTCATGTTGTGTCATATGCCATGTCATCATATGTCATATTTCCTGTTATATGTCATGTCATATGTCATGTTGTATGTCATGTTAAATGTCATGTCCTGCCTCATGTTGTGTCATATGTCATGTCATCATATATCATATTTCCTGTTATATGTCATGTCATATGTCATGTTGTATGTCATGTTAAATGTCATGTCCTGCCTCATGTTGTGTCATATGTCATGTCATCATATGTCATATTTCCTGTTATATGTCATGTCATATGTCATGTTGTATGTCATGTTAAATGTCATGTCCTCCCTCATGTTGTGTCATATGCCATGTCATCACGTCATATTTCCTGTTATATGTCATGTCATATGTCATGTTGTATGTCATATCATGTCATATATCATGTAATGTCATATATATAATGTAATGTCATGTTATAATTAATAATCAAGCAACTTTGCTGCTATACCACGGCTACATTGTGCCTACTACAGCCATGGTATGACTACTAAGTTCCTCGATTATTACAACAGAATGAGCATACAGTTCAGCCATATCAGCTTAAAAATAGCAACTTTCATTGTTCTGAGCACACAATCTAACTACTAAATGAACAGGAAGATTATTTAAAGTCTTTTCAAAGTTGTTTAAACATGATGCTAATGGTCTAATCAGATTCAATGCATTATGCTAAGCTAGGAGAGCTTTTAAATGCGCCTCGTTTATTTCAAGTGGAGTGTTCCTTTAAAAACTGAACTCGATCCATTCATTAGAGAATCACAGATCTAATTGGGATCTTATTTTCCTGTTTAAAACACACACAAATACAAACATAAATGTACTTTAATGGGATTACATAGGATTTGTGTGTGCTGCGTAGTTTTGTGCCTGTTGGGAAATGGTTGTAGCTCAGCATCAAGTTCTGTTGAAATCAGTTAAGTGCTTGGAAAAACTCTTGTTCATGTGCTGCGGCTCATGTAGACGGCTCTAATTCAGTCACTAATGAGGGTCTGTCTCAGTCAGGATGCTGCCTATGTAGACAGCAAGACGGCTCAGTAGGGTTTGTGACAGCGTGATTATTGCTCATTAAAGCATTCAAACCTTCTCTGAGAGAAAGAGATGAGGAATGGCAGACAGACTGATGATGATGGTGATGGTGAAGGTATTGTGTGCGGAAACACTTGAACTCGAGGGCGATCATAATCTGCACATCGTCTGTATTGAGGAAAAACTCTAACCGAACACAGATTTGACTGATTTAGGATGAATAATGCATCTCAAAACAGTTTTATAAGCATCTATTAGGAGTAAGAGAAACCTCTCCACAGCCACTGATGATGATGAATATGCATTATGTATGTTTTGTGTATGTGTCTATAAGCAAAGTTTGATTTAAATCTTACACTGCGCCTCATAACATATGATTTGTTGATGTTTTTTTTGCTGTGTGTGTGTGTGTGTCAGCTGGGTCAGATCTTACGGAGCCCCTTCATGAAGTTTGTGGCTCACGCCGTGTCCTTCACCATCTTTCTGGCTCTGCTGGTTCTGAACGCATCCGATCGGTTCGAGGGGGTCAAAAACCTCCCCAACGAGACCATCACTGACCATCCACGACAGGTCTTCAGGGTCAAGACCACACAGTTCTCTTGGACAGAGCTGCTCATCATGAAATGGGTTCTGGGTAAGACCTGCTGCAGTGTGTGTGTGTGTGTGTGTGTGTGTGTGTGTGTGTGTGTGTGTGTGTGTGTGTGTATGTGTGTGTGTTTGTGTGTGTGTGTGTTTGTGTGTGTGTGTGTGTGTGTGTGTGTGTGTGTGTGTGTGTGTGTGTGTGTGTGTGTGTGTGTGTGTATTCCTATTTCTGTTCTGCTGTCTTTCTTTACAGGTAATAAGAAGTCAAATGATGCTCAATAAAAATGCATTTAGAGGTTTTGTGACATACTGTGAGGCTGTTTTTGCTTTGATGAAGCTGTCATCATTTTGCTCATAGTTAAACACTCACTGCTACCACACACACGATGGATTTCTGATGTGTAAAAGTCTGCAGTTTGCTGCTCTTCTCTCATGTTTACAACAATCAAAAGTAAAAACAAACATAGATTTTCTCGTAATACTCATTTGATCATTTGATTTTTTTTACATTGCTTTGTTCTCTGATTGGCCAGTTGGGCCAAACATCCGCTCTGATTGGCCACCAGATGGGTCAATAATCTTATTTGATTAGTCAGATGGCCCTACAATCTGCTCTGATTGGTCAGATAGGCCAATAATCTGCTCTGATTGGTCAGATGGACTAATAACCTGCTCTGATTGATCATGTGGGCCATCAACCTGTTCTGATTGGTCAGATGGGCCAAAAAAATAGCTCTGATTGATCAGATTGGGTAATAATCTTAATTGATTCTTAAGAAGGACCTATAATCTTATATGGTTGGTCAGATGGCCCAATAATCTGCTCTGAATGGTCAGATGGGCCAATAATCTTTTCTGATTAGTCAAATGGCCCAATAATATGTTCTGATTGGCCAGATGGCTCAATAACCTGCTCTGATTGGCCAACAGATGGCCCTATAATCTGCTCTGAATGGTCGGATGGCCCAGTAATCTGCTCTGATTGCTTAGATGGCCCAGTTATCTGTTCTGATTGGTCAGATGGCCCAATAATCTATTCTGATTGGCCAGATGGCTCAAAAATCTGCTCTGATTGGCCACCAGATGGCCCAATAATCTACTCTGAATGGTCGAATGGCCCACTAATCTGCTCTGATTGTTAGATGGCCCAGTTATCTGTTCTGATTGGTCAGATGGCCCAATAATCTATTCTGATTGGCCAGATGGCTCAATAACCTGCTCTGATTGACCACCAGAAGTCCCAATAATCAGCTTTGAATGGTCTGATGGCCCAGTTATCTGCTCTGATTGGTCAGATGGGCCAATATTCTGTTCTGATTAGTCAAATGGCCTAATAACCTGCTCTGATTGACCAGATGAGCCAATAATCTGTTGTGATTGGCCAGATGGCCAGTAATCTGTTCTGATTGGTCAAATGGCCCAATAATCTATTCTGATTGGCCAGATGGCTCAATAACCTGCTCTGACTGACCACCAGATGTCCTAATAATCAGCTCTGAATGGTCGGATGGCCCAGTTATCTGCTCTGATTGGTCAGATGGGCCAATGTTCTGGTCTGATTAGTCAAATGGCCTAATAACCTGCCCTTATTGGCCACTTGGGCCAATAATCTGTTCTGAGTGGTCATATGGACCAATAATCTGCTCTGATTGGTCAGTTAGCCCAATAAACTGCTTTGATTGGCCACCAGATGGGTCAATAATCTTATTTGATTAGGCAGATGGCCCTACAATCTGCTCAGATTGGTCAGATGGGCCAATACTCTGCTCTGATTGGTCAGGTGGCCCTACAATCTGCTCAGATTGGTCAGATGGGCCAATATTCTGCTCTGATTGGTCAGATGGCCCTACAATCTGCTCAGATTGGTCAGATGGGCTAATACTCTGCTCTGATTGGTCAGATGGCCAAAAAAAATCTGCTCTGATTGGTCAGATGGCCCAATAATCTGCGCTATTTGGCCAGGTGGGCCAGTAATCTTCTCTGATTGGTCAGATGGACTAATAATCTGCTCTGATTGGTCAGATTGCCTAGACTGCTATGATTGGTTAACTAGGTATACTACTTATTTCCCTCAAAATACTGTACATGCCACTTTTTTCAAATATGGTCTAGTAAATTTGTGTTTACAGTACAGTAATGCGTGCATGAAAGATTTGAAGTCCCTGTTTATTTATTAGATTTAATAGCTAACATGTGAACACGTATCAGATGAGCGCTGTGTGTGTGCGTCTGCATTTCAGGCATGATCTGGTCGGAGTGTAAGGAGATCTGGGTTGACGGTCCGCGTGAGTATGTCATGCACCTCTGGAACGTTCTGGACTTTGGGATGCTGTCGATCTTCGTGGCGTCTTTTACCGCTCGTCTCATGGCATTTCTGAAAGCGTCTAAAGCTCAGCTCTACGTGGACCTGCACGTCCCAAACCATGACATCAGCAACGCATCGCTTCCTGCTGACGTCGCATACTTCACATATGGTGTGTAAACGCATGCAGATCAGCACACAACTGTCTGAGCAAACTAACATTCAGTATGTTTAGCACATTTTTGGATCATATGTGAAGTTAAGATCATGTCCATTAATGTTTGTTAATTTAATCTCAGGTTAAGTTTAATCTCAACTGAAACATGAAGAGGGCGGGGCAAAGTGTAGCACCTTTCACTTAAAAAAAAACAGCCATTAGCGTTTTGTTTTCTCACAGCTCTGCCAGGTTGAGCTCAAGCACATGACAAACAAATGAGAAAAAGGGGCGGGGCATGTTAGACACTAGAGAACATTTGATTGGTGAGAAGATTTGATGAGAAACTGAAGTATGAAGTCATGTCATAGAAAATGTTGATTATTGAAGTGACAAACCGCAAGCTTTACATGCTTATATCAGGTTTATATATTCTAAATGTAAATTTTGTCACTGTTTTGGAGCACAGTAGTTATAGAAATCCTTAAAACTAACAGACTGAAACTAACATCTAAAAGGGTTCATTTTAATTTCATGGAACCTGTAATGTAATAAGATTATAAAGATCTGAAATGTTTTAATAATGTTCTTATAAGCAAAAAATAAAGTCCAGTTTTTGTATATGTTATATTAATGTTCTTGTTTGGTTGTATTAACCTTATTGAAAACATTTTAAAACATTTTATTTTGCTCAGGACGTTATGTAAACATTATATTCACGTTCTAATAATGTCTTCCTCACATTCCCAGTAAGTCATAAAAACATTGTCTAAATGTTCAAAAACACCAATGTTTTCGACGTTGTATTAACGTTTTGAACACTCAGACATAATGTTTTTATATTTAAAAAAAATAATATATATATATATATTATATATATATAATATATAATATAATATATATAATATATATAATATATATATATTATATTATATATATATATT